CGGGTCGGGGCGGAGGGTGCGCGGCCCGCGCCTCCGCAGCAGCGCGGCCGGCGCCGGGCCAGGAGGATGCACGGCGCCGGGCTCTGAAGCATGGAGGGGGTTCTGTATAAGTGGACCAACTATCTCACAGGTACGGACTCGGGCTGTGGCCCACCAAGACCCGTGTCTCACCCCTCGGGGCGCACTTCCACGCCCCACCCCGGTCTCAGTCCCGCATGGGGCCCATTCGGGCCTTTGCGATGGAGAATTGGAGACTGCGCACCTTCGGAAGAATGAAACGTGCACCAGACCCCTTCCTTGCTGTGCAGTAATCCTGGTTGCCTCTAGCCTCGGGAACGGTTCCCAGTTTGTTCACCCTAAGTGTGCCGTTACTATCTCCGCTTTTATTCACCCTTCATGGACAGCATTTTGTTAATAAGCGTGTGTGTCGGGGGCGGGAGTATCGAAATGTTAAGATCAAGAAATGTTTTCTGTATTTTAATTTTCTTGGCACTCGTTTGAAAGTCCACTTGTTGCGGTGGTACGAGCTCAGCAAGCATGGTTTTGGAAGTATGCTCTTTAGGGATCCGTTTTCAGTGAGACATCACTGAGGTTTGGGAATTCAGAAGGCTGAGAAATAGTGGACGAACGTGCAGTTTCTATACGGTTTGGCAGTCTGAGTAATTGAGAGACGTAGTGGAAGTAAATGCAGTACACAGAAAGCAGGTAAGTTTCGTTCATGAAGTGGGTTTGAAGAAAGCTGTTTGTTTAGAAATGAGATCAGCAGCTGAGAAGGGCCCCTGCCCATGACATTGGTAGTGTGGCTTTCAAAAAACATCTTAAATCTAAGTCGTGCAGTTTCTACTATCACCAACACTAAAGGCAGGTGTGTTAATTCTGTCAGGATGTCAGCTGGCTAAGGCCTCCATGATTAACCATTTTATCCTGGGAGGTGCCTTCCAACTCCTCAATTCTATAATCTCACCAAACTAGAGAAAGAATGATGAGTTGAAAATAAGCTTGATTCTTTGTCTAGTAGAATAGGCAATTTTTGACTTGCCCACTTAGTTTGCCAAAAGTAATGAGCCCCTTAGCACCATACACTTAGCTTGTGCCCACTGATCTTGTGGGATATCTGCAGGTAAATTCTCTAAAGGCCAAGTGCTAAGTTGTATCTGTCTAAAGCCACATTTACAACAACAGATGCTTTACTATTTATAATACACTGATGTTTATGTTCAAAGGGAAAAGCCAGATAACTTACGGAAATGACATGTTTTTACTGGAAATAGTAAGACACTAGGCAGATATTTTTTATTAAGATTTTCATGTGGACAGTTGTGACACAATGCTGGTTGAGGTATCGTATTAACTGTAAGTTCCACAGCATCTGAACTTTGAGATGCAAATAATAACTCTGTGTAAATATTTGTGAGCAGACTGTCTTGGGAGGTCATGCCAGAGGAACGTTTTCTGCATAGCCCAGAGCAATGGGCAATTATTGAGAGGAGTCATAGTTGAAGGGAAATTTCACTTGGGGTGAAATACGGTCTTGTTGGAGGTGCTCTCTACCAACACATTTGGGGTTTTAGTTTTTACAGTGCATTTTAGTTAACTTCTAGTAAGTATCATATAGCTTGCTGAGATGAAGTCTTTTCTTTGGAATAATTCCATTTTTAAAATGTAGAATTGGCTCTACAGCATGCTCATTAATTTTAGTAATCTTGGGTCAGAAGGATGAACAGCTCGGTATACTAAGTGATCTTTAAGGAACCTCCAGCAGTGTAATAATCTGTGTTCTTCCTCCTCCTCCTCATCTTCCTCCTCCTCCTCCTCTTCCTCCTTTTTTTGTAAGTGTTCCAGTAACATTTAGAAGTTTAAGATAAAACTGCTTTTTAAAGTAGAATTTGAAAGAGAGAATAACCTTTGCATCCTTTCCTGTGTTATAAAGTTTGATTAAATATTTCTTCAAAAAGGTATGTTAAAAAAAGGTATGCAGAGATAATTAGCAAGCTTGATAGGTTAATATATTCAATCATGGTCATTTCTGAAAATTCTAAATAAATCGTTTTGCGCACAATTTGTTCTGAAGAGTGGTTGCATCACAATAATGTAATAACCTGTAATAATGCAAAAATCACAATTTGTCTAAAGGACCGTACTGGGCTGAGGTGGAGGTATATTTTCACCACCCCCTGCATATAATTTATTTGCCAAGGTGAATCAGTATTTGGAAAGATAATATAAATTAATTCATTTTTTAAAAATTTATTTTTATTTTATGTATATGGTTGTATTGCCTGCATGTATGTGAGTGCACCAGTGTTGTGCAATACCATGGAGGTCAGAAGAGGGTTTTGGATTCCCCTGGCAACTGGAGTTAAGGACAGTTCATAGCTGCCATATGGGTGCTGGGAATTGAACCCGGGTCCTCTGCAAGAGCAGTCAGTGCTCTTAACTGCTGAGCCATTCTCCAGCCCCAGTTAATTCATTTTTTAGTCAGTTGAGAAATACATTTTTTAAAGCATTTGTTATATGGTAGGTATCATTTGGATTGCTGGGAATGCATTGAAGAGTAAGATAAGTACACTTATCGAAAGAACTTTCTAACTTGGCAGCCCTCGCTAGGGAATGTAGTGTTTACAAAATGTAGTTTCCAGATGCCTGAAGTTTGCTCGATTTTTCTTCTGAACTGATTTATGGCATCACCTGCTTTCTTAAACAAGGCATATAAAGTAAAATTTAACCTTTCTTTGATGACTCAGTTATCTTAGTTTCTTTTCTTGTTGCCATGATAAAATACTCTGACAATGCAACTTAGCAAAGAAAGATTTATTTTGGCTCCTAGTGTGAGGTTATAGTCCACCATTACAGGGAAGTCACAGCAGCAGGAGCTTGGGGCAGCTGGTCACATGTCGGAAGACCGGAGGGAGAGAAAATGCTTGTGCTGAGCTTCCTTCCTCTATTTTGTACAGTCCAGGATGCTCTGCCCAGGAAATAGCTTCTCACACAATTAAGATGGGTCTCCATATATCAATGAATATATGCCATATAATTTCCCACAGGCATTCCCAGAGGCCCATCTTGAAGGTAACTCTAGATTCTGTTAATTGACAACACAAACTATCACACTCAGCACTGTCTTTTCAAAAGTGTTACTGGTAGAGCCCAAGACTTAGGTCTATTATCAGTTGATAAGAAAGACCTGCTCTGTATTGTTACCATCTGACCCTGAAAAAACTGAATCGATCAATTGAATAGCAGCCTATGGCCAAAGTAACCAGGATTTGAACACTCAAAGTATTGTAGTTTAGTTTCTTTGTGTTGTATTGTGACTTAATAGTTAAGGAAAGAGTTGGGACAGTCACACTGCAAGAGGAATTGAGGAATGAGAATCCAGCACTGAGGAAAACCATCATCCTGGTCACCAGCTTTGCCTTAGAGCCAAATCTGTGACCGGTATATGCTTTAGTTGCTGAGGAAATGTCAATGGAATGAATGAAATTTGTAGCATTTCTGCCTTAGCTGTGTAGTAGCAGAGAAGGAAAGGAGTGGGGTGGGGGGTGGAAATCTGCTTTTACTACAGGGTAAAGCATCTGCATAGAAGACTGGAATTTCTTAGCTCTCACTGTGTTCAAGGGACTTTGCTAAGGCAGCATCTTTTTTTTTAATCTCTTAAATTTTTGTGTATTTTGTACAAAATATCTTAATCGTCTTTATACAACCCTTCCCCCCATCTGCACCCTCCCATAGGGACCCTCCCCTCTGCCAGATTTCATGCATTCTGTCATTTATATTAAGGCTTATCAAGTCAAGTTAGTGTACCCAGATGTCCCTTATTGGTGTCTAGTCAGCTTATCCAGAGTCACTCCATTAAAGACGATCAGCTCTCATCCAGCAGTAATCCGTTGCCAATAGTTCTTTGGCTAAGATTGGGTCCTTTGACTAAAGAACTAAAAATAGTTCTTTGGCTAAGATGCTGCTAAGGCAGCATCTTTGATCAGGGAAGGAGTGTCACAATGTAGAATTAAGAGGGTTAGGTGGTATTTGAGAGTTCGTTAACTTGTTTTGGAGACTGGGAATTTTAGAGATTTATTGGGATGAAAAGATTTGCTTTTGGTTAATCAACAAGAATGATAATAGACCTGGGCAAAACCTCTGTTTTCTGTTGTTTTTTGCATTGCAAGATAAGCAGCCCTAATTGGAAATGTTCCCAAATCCAAAGATTTTTGAGTACTATGGAATGGAAAGTGGAAAACTCCACACCTGAGTTTGTGTGATGGGGTTATAGTCAGAATGGAAACTATTGTATGAAGTTACTTTCAGGTGATGTGAATAAGGTGTACATGAAACATGAATTTCGTGTTTTGATTTGGGTCCCATTACCAATATACCTTATTTCGTATATGCAAATTCAAAACCTGACTTCTGAAACACTTCTGGTTCCAAGCATTTTGGATAATGGATGCTAAATCTACTTCCCGACCCCAGCCCTCTTCTCACCTAGGAAAAGGAGCAGTTAGACCGTACCTTGTATAGAGCTGTGGCAGAGGTCGTGTCTAATGGATTGTAGATGAGAAGGTTGTGAGCTAGAATAAAAAGTTCTTCCTTTATGCTGAAAATCTCTACCAACAACATGGAGATTGTTGTGAGGACATTTTGGGCAAAACCTGGCCACTAAGAATTTCATTGTCTGAATGTCACTAGGAACTAAGAACTAATATGGCAAGGTTGAAATCAGTTTTCTACTTGGTAGAAACAATTTCTTATTAACTTTTTTTAAACTTACCTTCTTTATAGGTTGGCAGCCTCGCTGGTTTGTTTTGGATAATGGAATCCTGTCCTACTATGATTCACAAGATGATGTTTGCAAAGGGAGCAAAGGAAGTATAAAGATGGCAGTTTGTGAAATTAAAGGTAAGTGAGAGGAATTTGAAGAGTTTTTACTTGATCTCAAAGAGTTCTGTAACAGGCTTCAAACCAGGAAAGAAAACATTTATAACCATGTAGGAATTTTCTGTTTTTTGTTTGTTTTAGTAATCTAGAGTGGCATTTAACATTTTATTTATTTGTTTTTACTTTATGTGTATGAATGTTATATCTGCATGTGTGTAAGCGCACCCATGTTGTGCAGTGCCCAAGGAGTATAGAAGAGGGTGTAAATCCCCTGGAACTGAAGTTATAGACAGCTGTTAGTTGCCATGTGGGTGCTGGAATTCAAACCCGGGTCTTCTGCAAGACAGCCAGTGTTCTTAACCGCTGAGCCATCTCTCCAGCTCTGGCATTTAACATTTTAGTTGTAGGTTTTGATAATCTCCCTTTATAAATACACCTTCAATTTATAAATACACCTTCAACTCAAGGTACTTGTTCTACTCTTCCAATTTTGACTTGACAGATACTTTTTTTGTGGATATCAGTTCAGTTTCTGTGTTGCATCTAGGTTTGTTCTGTTTCATTCTCATGGAAAGGTTTTGAAAAGGTCAGAAGCTGAACTCTATAGATAGAGGTCAGACCAGCTTTGTGGAGTTTTCACAAAGCAAAACATACAGTTGGAATCATAAGCTTTGATTCTTGTTGAATTGGAGATAAGCTTTGTGGGTGATAGAAATGATTTCCTTTTCTCCTAAAAGGGGAGAAATAAACATGGTGTAATTTTCATGAAGATTTCATGGACCACCGATTCATTCCTGTGTGTGGCTGAGGTGTGTGAGGTGAAGGTAGGTGAAATGCAATCAGACAGAAGAAGGAGAAGATGTAAATTCTTAAAAGAGAATTGAGGCAAGACTAGAGTACCAGACGAGTGGTGTTCAGCTCCCTGCCAGCCTTTCTCCTGTCACCTCTGTTGCTTGACTACTTGTCTTGGGAAGGGTAGCTCTTTTGACACCTGTTCACACCTGTCAGATACCCCAGAGTTATCTTACCTTCCTATGCATTTGCTTATTGAGATTAATGCATTGACCTACGTTTTTCAGGGCAGGACTGCTACTTTGCTGTAATTCTTCTGGTTTTAATTAAGATTTACTCAAGGAGACGAGAGATTGTTTCTACTTAGGATACATGTTCTTCAGTTACAGGTCTGGTTTCGTACCTTCATCTCAGATTTACTAACTCATAAAACTCTCTCACCTACCTGCCTGCCTGTCTGCCTCCCTCCTTCCCTCCTTCCCTTCCTCCCTTCCTTTTTCCCCGCTTCTTGCCCTTCCCCTTTCCTTTCTCCCCTTTCCTTCTTCCATCCCTCTCTCTTTTCCTACCCCCTCTTTCTTTTTTTTTTGAGACAGCATCTCCCCATCTTGCCCAGCATCTTGCCCAGGCTGGGCAATCCTCTTGTTTTTCTCCTCCCCATGCTAAGATTATAATCACACAACATTCTAAGCTTGAGGTACAACTTGTCATCCTGGGGGCATTCTTTAAAGTGCACATGTCTGTGAGGTAGAGTTTTTGTGCCCCTTTTAGTTGACAGTTATTAAACTGTTCTAATGGAAGTGTATCATGACTCTATAAACTGTAGAAATACTTTGATTTGGGGTGTTATTCCTTGTGTGTCCCCAGTACTATGTGGGGTATTATTTTGTTGTTTTACTTTTTGTAGATCAAAACATAAACCAATGAGTATTACTTTTCCATTTGCTCATTTTTGGGGTCTGTGTAACTTACTTTCAATTATGCTATATTTCATCAGAAATGAAAACCGCAGTCAGAGTTCAAAGAAGTAGTTCCTGAGGATACATAAAAGACTGCTGCAGAATTCTGAGGCAGCTGAAGAACAGTTTGAAGTGTAGTAGCATCTTTGTTTTTCTTATGCTTTGTTTAATCATTTTATTAATAACATACAGAAAAGGTTGCAAATCTTAATACTCAACTTGAAGATGTTAACAGTGAAAGCACCTGTGTAGCCACTGTTGAGATGACAATTTAGGATCTTACCAGCAGCTTGGAGGCCTGCTTGCCAGGCTCCTCCAGTCTTCTAATCCCCCTCAAAGGTAACAAGTCATCTTGGACAACTATAGATAAGTGCTGTTTGTTGTTGAATATTTTGTAACTGGAATCATTTAATATTTGCATCTGTGTCTGTGCCTTCTTTTACTCAACATCCTCTTTATAAAATTCGTCCATATTCTGTGTAACAGTGGTTCAGTTATTCTTACTTTATGTAGTATTTGTGTAGATATTCCACAATTTAGATATCTGTTCCAGTACGATGGATTTTTAGGTTTCCATTTTGAGATTCTAATGAGTGAAACTGCCACAAACATATTTATTAAAAAAAAATTGTGATGCAATACATTTAACAATGTCTCATCTTAAGCATTGATAAATGTGCTGTTCAATACTTTTTAGAATATTTCTTGCATCTAACATAAGTATGCCTTTCATTCAGTATATATCTAGTATAGACTGGAATTGCTGAGACAGTTAATATTTCCTACATATAATTTTAAAAAATATTTCCTACTTACAATTTTAATTGGTCAAGAAAAAATTATTCCTTTTTTTCTGTGGTGCTGGGGATTGGGCCTTGTACATGCTAGGCAAGCATTCTACCATTCAGCTACTTCCCCAGCTCTGAAAAATTTATTCTTGACATTTTGTTAGAATACATGGCATACTTTATTTAGGATCATGGGAAATTGCAGCAGTGGAGAAAGACTGAGATCCTTCTCTTTCTATAAAGAAAAGTAGTTTATAGCCAAGGGGTAGGTAGGAGAATTAAAGGATGGAAAATTATTAAGAATAAATCTTAGGGGCAAATAGAGATCTGGCTAAACAAGATTTGCATTGGCAGATGCCAGTGTTCCAGAGTGATAGTTCTTCCCTGGGGCACGGTCAGTTTTTGGATTAACAAAGGGATGAGATGGAAAGTGGTTTAGCAGAGTGCTTGTGGGAAATGCCCCAGATGAGGATAGATCCTCAGTCTAGCAGAGGACTCTGGTCAAAGGGGAGAGTCTTTTTTTCCTGGATAATGTGTAACTAATGAGTAATGTTTTCCAGAGTTCTTTCATCAGTTTGCTACTCTGCAGAGATTAGGAGTTCATCTTATTCTGTATTTTCATCAAAATATAAGAGCAATTTTTAAAGTTTTGACTATTTTTCGTGTGTGTACTGGCCTCCTACTATGGCTTTATTGTGTATGTTTTCAGTAACTTGAACTTGTATAGACCTCATCCTGGCTTCTAAATCACTATGTAGCCAAGGCCAGCCTTGAACTCTGGATTCTCTTGCCTCTGCCTCCCAAGTTCTGGAATTACAGGTATGCATAACCACAAAATCCTCTTTTGAAGCACCTTGTTAAGTCTTAGCCTTATTTTCTGAACTTATCTCTTAATTGATTTGTAGTCTTCTTTGTATACTCTGATGAGTGTTTGTATTGCAAATATCTTTTCCTATGTGGTTTGTCATTCTGTTAATGATTACTTTTTGATAACCAGAAGTCCTTAATATCAATGAAGTCCAATTTGTGAATTAATTTTGGTTTTTTGACATGTGTATGCATGTTTGTGTGTATGTGGGTAAACATACATGGGCATGCTATACATATGAAGGAAGGCCAGAGGTAAACCTTGTTGTTGTTTCCCAGGAGCCATCTACCTTAGTTTTTGAGATAAGCTCTCTCATTGGGACCTAGCCCTGGCTCCCCAATTTGACTAGGTTGGCTGGCCAGTGAGCCCTTTGTCTCCCCAGCACTGGGGTGATAAACACACACCATCATGCCTGGCTTTTCACATGGGTGCTAACTCCCAAGCTCTGTGAATTAATTTTTTTTTTGAACTGTGTAGACCAGGTTGGCTTCAGACTTGCTGTGATCCTTCTGCGTCTGCTTCCCAAGTTCTGGGAGCTGGGATGACAGTTGTGTGCCATCGTGCCAGGTACCTAAGACATCTTTTACATTATCTTCTTGAAGGTTTATTATTTTACCTTTTATATTTAGGTCCATGTTAGATCTGTAATAAAATTTATTTGTATGAAGTATGTCACATACGAAGGTTCATTTTTTTTCTCATGTGGATGTCTAATTGATTGAACTTATTTTTTGAAAATACCAACCTCCTGTGTCCCCACTGCACTATAGGAATATTATTATCACAAAGCAAGTGAACATGTATGTGTTGGTCTGTTTTTAGAATGCCTGTTCTGTTCCATGAACCTGTTGTCTGTTTTGTGCCAATCCGTCTTAATTTCGTTGCTTTGTGCTTTGTCTTATAACCCAAGTTGTGTAACTTATTCTTCTTCAGTATTGTCTTGACTGTTGTTGGCTCTTTGCATTTCATTATACATTCTAGAATCTGCATTTTCACAAATTTTGCTGGAATATTTTATTAGCACATACTAATTGCATAAAATAATTGATTTTCGGTGGCAGTTTTATACATGTACATAATGTAAATCTGCCAGAATTTTGATCAGAATTGATAGATGAGAAGAATTGTATTCTTAACAATACAGAAAAGCTGGGCATGGTGATGTACATTTGTAATCCCAGCATCCAGAGCTGAGGCAGAAAGATCATGAGATTGTGCTGTATAGTGCGTTCCAGGCCAGCCTAAGCTCTGTAGTAAGATCCTGTCTCAAACAAACAGAAAGAATATTTTGAGCCATTAAAATATGTTCCTATATTTAATTCTTTAAGTAACGCTTTGTATTTCTGAGTATAGAGATCTCATCCTTTGCTTTCCCGTAGGGACTTGATGATTTGGAAGCATCATTGTGGTGGTGGTGTTGTTTTCTTTTCTTTTCCTTTTTTTTTTTTTTTTTTTTTTTTTTTTTTTTCCTCCTGCCTGTTGTTGTTTCAGACAGGATCTCACTATGTGACCCTGAAATTTGCTGTGGATACCAGACTGACCTCAAATTTATGGTGATCTTCCTTGAATCGTCATTTTGGGGGGTGGGTTGTTTTTTTTTTTTTTCTTTTTTTTTTTTTTTTTTTTTTTGCCTTTTTTGAGATAGGGCCTTCCTGTAGCCCTAGCTGGCTTGGAATTTGCCATGTATACCAGGCTGATGTGTGTGTGTGTGTGTGTGTGTGTGTGTGTATCTATGTTGTTTTAAGACAGGGTTTCATTGTGTAGCTCTGGCTGACCTGGAACTCTTTATGTAGACCAGGTTGGTCTTAAATTCACATTGATCCATCTGCCTCTGCCTCCCAAGTGCTGAGACTAAAGGCGTGTGCCACCATTCTTGGCTTGGAAGCATCACTTTTAACTGTCTTGCTTTCTCAGGTGAGAACTTCAAAATTCTAGTATTCTGGAAAGTGAGGGACCTTATTTTAGTGCTATATGTTGGCATTGTTTTGGTCAGCATCGTCACCTTGGTGCCATGTGGGAATGCTGCTTTTGAGGATGCTACTGGTGGCCCCCTTAGAGAGTGGCCCTGCTTGTGTATGAGTCGCGGTTTCTTGTTTTAGTATATGAAGCACGTGATATTGCATAAAAGTGATGCTATGATTCGCCCCAGATTCTTTAAGTCTATACCAGTATTTTGCCTTTGTTTATCATCATAGTGCACCCAGCAGACAACACAAGAATGGAGTTGATCATTCCAGGAGAGCAGCATTTCTACATGAAGGCAGTAAATGCAGCTGAAAGGCAGAGGTGGCTGGTTGCCCTGGGGAGCTCCAAAGCATGTTTAACTGATACTAGGACTAAAAAAGAAAAAGGTAATTGTAATTTTTTTCCTTTTAATAACAGTACTTTAAGCTTAAATTGCCCTGTCAATAATCTATCAGAAGAAAATAATCATTAACATAGAAAATTTACTGTGTTGGTGCTGGGAATTGAACCCAGGTCCTCTGCAAGAGCAGCCTGTGTTCTTAACTGCTAAGCCATCTCTCCAGCCCCCATAGTAAAAACTTTCTAAATAGATGTAAAGGTATAAGTTTAGGAGAGTCATTCAGTAAACCAGTGCTTCCATCAGTAGATATGTGAACAGTAAAATGTTTACAAGGAAATTTAATGGTATGGGAACATGTCCAAGGTTAAATGATCACTACAAAAGCAGAGGACAAACACAAGGGCCTGCATTCAGTACCGGCACCCACATAAAATGCCAAGCATGGCGACACATGCTTAAAATCCCAGTGGTGGGGAATCAGAGACAGGAGGATTCCTGGGGCTCATTGGCCAGCCAGCCTTGCCTAATTCATGAGCTCCAGGTCATTGAGAAACCCTCTCGCAAAAGAGAGGAATGGTGTTCCTGAGAATGACATCCAAGGTGGTCCCCTGGCCTACACACAACACACATGTGCGTGCACACACACACAGACACACACGTGCACACACAAACACATGCACACACATATGCATATAAAGATTTTTAAAAGTTAAAACGGGCTTGAAAGATGGCTCAGCGGTTAAGAGCATTGACTGCTCTTGCAGAAGACCCAGGTTCGATTCCCAGCACCAACACAGTGGCTAACAGCAGTCCTTACTCCAGTTCCAGAGAAATTCAACACCCTCTTCTGACCTCCGCAGCATTGCACAACATGGGTGCACTCACATACATGCAGGCAATACACTCATACACATAAAAAAAATATATTTTTAAAAAGGTTAAAACAATATTTTTAATTTAGTGAAAACTGCTATATAGAGGAACTTATAATGATTCAGATATATCAAAGAAAATTGTGGATAAAGTATGGCTAAGTTGAGGACAAGAAGAACTAGATTTTCACAGTAACTAAAAGATAGGAACAATTCCTATCCATTGATACTTGAATACATAAACAAATGTGGTATACATGTACAATGGGATATTACCCTTAAAAAGGAAGGACATCCTGACACATATTACAGCATGTTAACTTAAAGGTGCAATCTAAGTGAAATAAGCCTGCCAAAAAGGAGAAACATCGATTGCACTTATTTAAATACCAAGGATAGTGAGATTTATACAGACAAAGTAGAATGGAGCTGAGCATGGTGGAATGTGCCTGTTAACCCAGTGATAGGGGTGCTGAGGTAGGAGGATTGTGAGTTTGAGGCCAGTTTAGACTACATAGTGAGACTCTGTCTAATAAATAAAGTAGGAAGAACAAAGGAAAGAAAGTAGAAAAGTGTTGGGGCCTATGTGGAGGGGGAGTCGGTTAGTATCTAGTGGGTTCAGAGTTTCTGCTGGGAAAGAGGAGGACGAGGTGGACAGTGGTTATGGTTGCACAGCATTTGAATGTTCTTAATGCCACTGAACACTTAAAAATGATAGTTTTATGTTATGTATAATTTACCAATTTGTGCGTTTTTTTATATTTAGAAAAAGGAATGGGAACTGGGGAGATGACTCAGTGGATAAAGCACTTGAAGACTGGAGTTTGGATCCCTAGAATTCATGTACAAGTTGAGTGGGTTTAGTGGCCTGATTGTAATCCTAGCTCTCGAGAAATTCCAATAGCAAATTGGTTTGTCAGATTAGCTGAATGGGGCCTCCAGGTTCAGCAAGAGATCCTGCCTCAGTAAATAAAGTGGAGAACAGTCAAGAAAAGGCATCTGATGTCCACCTCTGGCCTCATACCTGCACACACGAAAACATGAATATGCAAAACACACACACACACACACACACACACACGCACGCACGCATGCACACACAGGAGCATACTTAAATTTGGGGAAGATTGATTTAGGTTAGATTACATGTGCAGAGATTGCTGCCTTGGTGATTTTCTACCAGGAAACCAGGCCCCTGGTCTGGTGGATCCACTTTGGAAAGACACTAGAATCTCCTATATATCCAGTTTTTTCTTCTTCTGCAGCTTTTATTTTTACTTTAAAAAATACTGGCCCTTGAATGGCTGACGATGACTGGATATGTAGTTTGGAGTTACTAAGGAGAAGAGAGTAAGTGCTGAATTAGAATTCTGAAAGCAGTAAAATGTAAAAGTAAAACTGAAAGGAACAGAAGAAAATAAATGTTTATATACACTAGCTTTACTTACCTAAAAGCTAAAACCCTTTGTATGCTAAATTATACAATAAAGAAAACTGGAGGGTAGTTAACATCTAGAAAATTATTTGTATTAGATAGGTGGATGAAAGGTTATTTTCTTTGATATGTTAGAACTTTTGTAAAAGTCAACTCATAAAAGGAGAAATAAAGGCTGTTTTCAAGTGGAAGAGGATGAGTGACAGGGTGGAAAATGTTATATATAAAAATATCCCATCATGATCAGGCTGGCAAGATGTCTCAGTGGGTAGAGGCACCTATGCACAGGCCAGGTAACCTGAATGCAATCCCTGGGTCTCACAAGGTGTCAAGAGAGAAGCAGCTCCTGAGAGTTGTTCACTAACCCCTGTATGTGAATCTTGGCATGCACGTGTGTGCTTGAACTCACATAAAATAAACAAAATTAATAAACATCATCGCCTTATCTATGGAAATTAACCTGCTCTCAAGTTCATGGAAGACATGATGTGTCAATTGTTTTTCCCTAATTCTATAAAGAAAATATGTTTCTTAGGACTTTGTGATTCTCTTTCCAGGGTCTCACATCTCTCAAGCAATTTTGATTTGTTGACTTACTTTGAGAGAGAGAGAGAGAGAGAGAGAGAGAGAGAGAGAGAATATGTGTGTGCGTGCGCGCGTGCGTGCGTGCGTGCGTGCGTGCGTGCGTGTGTGTGTGTGTGTGTGTGTGCTCTTGAGGGGGCGGTCCATGTGGAGCCAGAGGGTGATAATTGGATGTCCTTTTCAATCACTTTCCATCTTTCCATCTTAGTTCTTGAGATAGGGTCATACACTGAACCTGGGGCTCACCAATTGGAGTAGACTAGCTGGCTAGCAATGCCCAAGGATCATCCTGTCTCTGCCTTCCCAGTGCTAGGATTACAGAACACTGGGTTCAGCTTGTTTATGTGGATTCCGGAGATCCAACTCAGGTCCTCATGTGTGTGTGGCAAGCACTGTGCCAACTGAGCCATGTCATTAGCCCCTGGGGCCTTTTAAAATGATTATATTTTGTTGTATTGTCACAGAATATCAAAATGGTGTAATTGGATTTTTTTTTTTAAGAAATAAGTGAGACCAGTGAATCTCTGAAAACCAAAATGTCTGAACTTCGCCTCTACTGTGACCTTCTAATGCAGCAGGTTCATACAATCCAGGAATTTGTTCACCATGATGAGAATCATTCATCTCCCAGTGTAGAGGTACTGCAAAGAGCATCCCTTGTTGTCTGGTTGGGATTGAACTCTGCTGGCTACTGCTCTGGGGCATCCTTAGTCACTCCATAGGATGACAGAGAAGCGTTTTCACATAGTTATCTCCAGCTCTTTTGAGCTCTTCCTGACCTATACTCTGTAGTGCTTTGTAGGTTATGTCTGTGCCAGAGTCAGGCCTTAAGCAGCCCATTTCTCCAGGGAATCAAGGCCTGTCACTGAAGCCACTCAGTAATTTGGAGGCTAGGTTGGGGAGGGAAGTACTTCTGGGTTTTTCTTCCGGTCAGTTGCATGAAGACAATGGAGAACTGAACTGCTGTTCTTTTTTTTTTTTTTGATAGTAAGATCTTAGCTTTACTTACCAAGAGCTGATAACTTGTCTGTATTAAATAACTTTAATTCTTCTCGGAACAGTAATGTAGGGTTAAAACTCAGGATTCAGGATCCTGTGATGAAATAGGTTCACTGTTTCTGGTGAAGAAAGACCAGTGAGCCCTCTGCTATCTGGAGGAAAGGTTGGCCTACTTCTTGCTTCCCCTTTACCTGACACTGTGTAAGTGGGCAAGGGATCTTCTTTCCTGTCCTTTGGTCTTCTCCTGTTAGGAGGAGTCTTGTACGAGTAAGTCCTCGTGGGTATTTGAACTGTGTGGACACTTACTGATTTCACCACCAGCTCTCTGGAGTTGGCTCTCTCACAGTATTCCAGCAGCTCAGTGTAGTGTCATCGACCCAGGCTTGTTCTGCTCTTCTTGGTGTATTGGGATTTCCCCTCATGCACCAGGATTCACAGTAACTGCCAAGGTTATGGAGAGGCAAGAAGCAGTGGGGTGGCCAGGATGAGAGAGACCTTCTCAACTTGCTGTTAGTGGTTTTAGTCAGGGAGCAAAAATCCTAGAAACTGCAGCAGACTTCTCTTCACCATTTGACAAAGGTCTCCGAGAGTAGTCACGAATGGCTTAGATCAGTCTACATTCATTCCGAGGTCAGCAGTACTGTACTGTCTTGAACAAAACTGGAGTCTCCACCAAGGGAGAAGTGGGAGAATGGATGTAGTGTAGACATGAATGCCAGTTAAGCAGTTCTCAAGGTATTCAGCTGCTGTGACAATATTCAGAATTCAGATAGGCAGGCGGTGTTAAGTTTAGGGGAGGCTAAGTTGCCCTTTTTTTTGGAGACAGGTTTTGCAAGGTAGCCTGGGCTGGCCTAGAACCTGTCATCTGTCTTCGTGCCTCAGCCCCCCCCTCTACATTGGGAATACAGGTGTGCACAGCTGTTCACAGCTTCTAAGATACTTTTTCTGGTGGTATAATTTTTCAACATATTTGGTTTAAATGCAAAGTTTTTCTTTCTTGGAATCTGATTTCATAAATTACTTAGGAATAGACTTCTTATTTACATTTTGATTTAATTTTCTCAGATAGTGCACTTTAAATACGTTCCCAGGGTATTTAAGCATAACTTATGCATGTGTCTGCTGGAGATACAGTTTTCTCACTTGATTATAAGGCTGCTTATGAGTCCATGGTTGAGTGTGAGTCTGTTCAAGTCTTTATGTCTGTTTTTTCAGAACATGAATGAAGCCTCTTCCCTGCTTAGTGCCACCTGTAACACGTTCATCACAACACTTGAGGAATGTGTGAAGATAGCAAATGCCAAGTTTAAACCTGAGATGTTTCAACTGCCTCATCCAGATCCCTTGGTTTCTCCAGTGTCGCCTTCTCCTGTTCAAATGGTTCGAACTTCTTTTTAAAAATTAATTTAATTTTATTTGTGTGTGCAAGCGTGGGTGCACACACGTGTGCACTCAGGTGCTAGAGGTCAGTGTCAGGTATGACCCTGTTGCTCTCTACCTTATTTTTTATTTTTTTTTAAAGATTTTATTTTTATGCATACAAGTGCTTGCCTGCATGTATGTAAAGTCCACCACATTTGTACCTGGTGCCTGAAAAAGGCCAGAAGAGGGCATTGGATCTCCTGGAACTGGAGTTAAGGATGGATGTTAGCTGCCATGTTGGTGCTGGGAAATCTCAGTTCCCCTGAAAGAGCAACCAGTGCTCTTAACCGCTGAGCCATCTCTCTAGCCCCTTCACCTTATTTTTTGAGACAGGGTCTTCCACTGAAATCTGGAGCCCAACTTGATGGACTGACCAGTGAGCTCTGGGAATCTACCTGTCACTGCCTCCGTAGTGCTAGGGTTACAGATGTGCATTACCACATCTGGCTTTTGTGGGGGTACTGAAGATCTGAACTCAGGTCTTTATGTCTGAGTGACATGTACTTTACCAGCTAAGCCGTCTCCTAGTAATGGGTATAGGTGGAAATAGACAGTGGGGTGGAAATAGTCCATAGGCTGTTTCTGTCTGTGCTGGTAGTGGGCCCTTTCAGCTGAGGAGCTCAGCATGTGAGCCAATGTTCTCGTCTTCTCAGAGGGACTGAGAATGGCTTGCCCTGCAGCTGCTGCCTCCATTTACCCTATCCCTGTATCCAGAGACTGTTATCACACAGTGTGTGTGTGTGTGCTGTGACATAGAAAAGGCTGGACACATGCTTCTACTTGGTAAAAATTTCACAAAAGCATGATGTTTTACTCTAAATGGGTACAATAGAGTAAATCATAACAGATGTTGTAAAGGATTTGAGATGTTCTGGTGGGAGCAAGTATTCTGGAGTTAGCCCTTGGATTTGAACTCTCTGAGTAGGCAACTTACTTAATCCCTCTGGTCCTTGTTTTCTTCTTCTGTAAAGTGTCCTCTACATTAGAAGGTCGTTGTGAAGTATCTGGGCCACTTAATAGTAGATGCTTGTGTCAGTTCTTGCCTCATTGCACTGAACACTGAGAGCTCTTTGCTGGATTCCTTGTTCTTTTCATGCTCTTAAACCCATTCTGGCATATAAGATGGAACTCTTAGTGAGATGAGGTTTGATAACACTACATTTTTTATTTTCATCAAAATATTTTTAGGAGCTTATTTGTAGGAGAAAGAATATTTTAGCAGTTAAGACCACCTTGTAGAAGCATAGAGTCCAGTTTACTTCTTGGCTGTCTTACCCACCCCAGCATTCAGTTTCAGAGAGTTACTAAAGATCATTGCCTAGGTTTATTTAAGCCTTGTCTTCTAATCAGTGGATGATGAATAGTGCCCTCTGAGATAGTGTACTGTAGAAGTGTAAAGGTCAATTTAATTTGAGAAGTTTTGGTTGATTTAGTGAAGTAGATATTTCTGTCTCAGTCTGATAAGAATAGTTTGCTAGCCTTTGTCAAAGCCTCTTTTATGCCAAATTTATGACGACTCATTCAGAGGGAGGGGTAGTATACAGTTTCTCAAAATTGTTTCACAGTTGACTCCTTCTTGCATAGGACTGTGTGGTTCAGTAGAACACAGTTTGGCAATGTTGCTTTTTTTTTTTTTTTTTCCAAATGTTCATATGAGACTCTGTTGGAATTTCTTTCTTTCTTTCTTTCTTTTTTTTTTTTTAACTTTAAAAAAACTTTATTGAGAATTTCATACATGTGTATAGGTGTTTTGAACCAATCCATGCCTAGTCCTTCCCCTCCAACATTCCCCTCTCTGAAGAGGTAACCCTAAAATCTTTTAAGGATTGGATACTGGCTCCCAAATACTTTTGACATTTTTGGCCTTTGGAACAGAGTATGTTGCTAACAGGCCCAAGGACATTTTGACTTTTAACCAGGAAACTGGCTACATTTCTTTGGGGTCTTCTTACCCTAACTGCCTAACCACAATTTGTACCTCCTATTCTTATCATGCCATCCTCTGAAGGGGTTACCCAAATTGCCAATAGGGAATAGGGATGCAGACCGCTCTGCTTCTTCCATGCTGAACAGGGATGCAGGGTGAGGCAATTGGGGTACCCCTTCAGTGGGTCTATCTAAAAGACTCCCAAATTACATAACTCTTGTCTCTAAGGGGAAAAGAAAGTCCTTGGATCCTGAATAGGAGATGTGAAGAAGAAATAAAGGCAAGACTAATTAGCATTACAAGTTCTAGACAGGGAACTAGAAAAGTCAGAACAGGGCCATTTTCAAATGTTCATATGAGAGTCCATTGAAGTTTCTTGGCAAGGGCTTCCAAAAGCATCTCTCTATTGGGTTCTTCCTCATTTTTCTTTTGTCTTCCAAGCCTGGACTAGTTGGCTGGGAAGAGTGGCTGGATACTCAGATGAGGGTCCAGTGACCCTGCTTGGCACTCCCTTAATGAATGAGCACAACTGTAATCAAGCCCAATTGTGCCTATGTTTAGTGATCAGGCTCAGCGGAAGTCATGATGATGGTAGTTATTTCATGCAGAAGGGACTACTGTATAGCATTGTCTTAATAAAAGGACCTGGAATTTAAAAAGGATTTGGTGCTAGGAGCCACATATGAGGGAGAACGTGTCGCTTGTTTTTTTGAGTCTATGTTACTTCACTTAGTATTAACAGTTTCTAGCTCCATCCATTTACCTGCAAATTTCATGATTTCATCTTTCTTTACTGCTGAATAGAACTCCATTGTGTAAATATACCACATTTTTGTTAACC